TATATATATATATATAGGCATTTTAAACCCTTCCCACACTCTTGCAGTATTCTAAACGATGTTTCTAAACTTTAAATACTCAAAAAGAGTACAGAATGTCATGATTTCCCTCTCTCTCTCCACCTGCAAGCATTCTTGACCACGCCCACTTGGCTCTGCATGGTGAACAGCTGATCAGCTGCAGGAAGAAGCTTATCCTGCAGTGTGGGCTGCACAAAGGTGCAGGAAGTGCTAAATAATTTAAAATAATTTATTTTAAATAAAAATTCAATGCTGATCGTGCGGCTCATCCATCAATCAGCCCATTGTGTGTCATGTCCAATCTTAGTTTGCAAAACCACGATAGAGCGAGTCCGCGATAAACGAACTGCCAAGTAGTGAGGGACTACTGTGTATATATGTGTATATATATATATATATATATATATATATATATATATATATATAATCTATATCGTATCTCATGTATTTTAATGTTACCAGATACAGCATATTTCATGTCCTTTTTTACTATTATTGATGGTAAAGTGTGATTTTCATACTTATTGAGCAACATGTGTGCTAAATGTGAAGAAAAAAATAAGTTTTAGGGAAGTAACAGAAGAAAGTAGAACTTATTAGATGAGAAATAACATTTTTATTCATGTAATTTAATACATTTTTTGTTTTAAATATAGATTTTAGTTCCAGTTGTATTTTCTTCCTTGGGTTGATTTATTTAAATCTTTTTTTTTTTATTGTTTAGTTCATGGAAATGACGGCACTAAATGGTCTTTTACAGTTTTTTTTTCTACAATCGTCAACCATGTTTCACACTGACATCTGTTTGTGAGTTTTCCAGTCAACGGACGTCCTTTAAACGCCTCATTGTTTGGCCTTTTTTTCTACAGACAACGATGCGTATAATTTTGGACGAACTACAATTGGTAATCTGGATGCAGAGTGAGTAATACTTCCACTGTCTCCTTCATTTAGCCTAAACCATGCATTGCAAACTGAGTCTATTTTTTCTAACCCTTTATATTTTTTATTTTGACAGTAATGCACTACTGTGGCTGCACACTACGTTTGCATTTCTCTACCTGTTGCTGACTGTGATCAGCATGAGGCGGCACACGTCTAGGATGCACTACAAAGAGGACGATCTGGTATGATTTCATTGAAAACAACGCTCATTCCTTATATCAAATATGTCCGTTTTGTTGAAGTGATTAATTTTCTGTTCTTTTTTTTTTCATTTCCATGAAGGTGAAACGCACTTTATTTGTTAATGGCATCTCCAAATATGTTGAGGAGAATGAGATAAAGCAACACTTCGAGTAAGCTTTTTCATTTCTTTGCAATAATATTTATTTCTTTAATAAAGGCATGCCATCTGTTGACATGGTGGTAACTGTATTAGAATGCATTAGAGTCGTGCCTTCCTCTGTTAAAGCTGCTGTTTTGTCCTCACGCCCGTTGGTAAAATGAGACAATGGCAGATTTATTTGGGTAATTGTCCATAATAGAAGACGGATGAGCAGAATTAGGCAGGTCATGTGTCAAGATGGTGTATGATTATGGAGGGGTGGTTTGACTCACTTCCTACTTGGTCAACTGGTATTACCAAAATATTTAATTTCTTCCCGCTCTGCTTAAAAAATCCTGACTGGAAGAGTTTTTATAGACAAATAAATATAGAAAATCTGATTTTGGCTTGTAAAAAGTACATAACAAGGCAGATCAAATGTAAAATACATGTTGCTGATTTTGTCTTTTCAAGTAATGTTTCTGCATTTGTGCTTTTTTTAAAAAGAAAAAACCTCTTCGTGCCTTTTTCGCCTCCTCACTACCTCTTTTTTTTACTATAGACAAGCTTATGAGAACTGCAGTGTTCTGGAAGCTCGCCTCTGTTACGATGTGGCCAAGTTGATGTATCTCAACTCTGAACGGTATCAGCGTTTATATCTTGTTTGTATTTGTTCATTTTTTTGACTTTTAAGTTGCTATTAGAAGAGTTTTATTTGCTCCGTGGCAGGCATGGCTCTTCTCCCTGACACAGCTGATGTTTTCTACACAGGAAGAAGACAGAGCGCAGCAAGAAGTTCTTTCTTGACCTGCAGGCCAAAGAGCACGATAAAACCATGATCAACCCAAAACCCTGTGGACACCTTTGCTGTTGTATCATTAAAGGCTGCGAGCAGGTCAGAGGAACATACCTATTTATCTTGACACAACACTTTAAGACAAGACTGCACATAAAGCATTTTGTAGGGGAAATACCATAAGAAATATAAAAGTCTGTTCCTGCTTTAAACATGTGCAAAATTCTAATTTTTACCGTAAGAGTCAATTCAATGTAAACGTGAATTATTGACATATAAATTCTGTATACCGTACTTTCTGCCGTACACGTCGCATCAGTCCAAATATGTCTAATAAAGTGGGGAAAAAAACATAAATATGTCGTTTCGCCGTATAAGTCGCATCGATTATGCGTCACCTCTGATGCGTCGCATTTGTTACATGTCACCGTTGACAACCCGGAAACGTGGGCCGGTGTTGTGCCAGAAATCAATTGGCTGCCAAATTGTGTCCGCAGGAGCGTGCACAGGAGGACTTTAACAAGAATTTAACAAGATTAACACTTATAAACAAGTATTTATATGCTCGAAATTATAGCAAAGGTGTGTCTCGGTCTAACTTTTCCTTAATAAATGCAATTTGGTCAGATCAGCTGCATTTCAAAAGCCAATTTGCAGCTGCGAGAGCGCTCAGAGGGAGGACTCACTGTGCATTTCTTTGAAATTTACCAAGATAACCACCTAAAAACAATTATTTGTTTGTTCGATATTATAGTAAAGGTGTGTCTCTGTTGAACTTTTCCTTAATAAATGCACTGTAATGGTCAAATCAGCTGCATTTCGCCTGGACGGTGCGGCGACATGCAGCTGATTTGACGTTTGCTCCAGGAGTTCTGGAGCGAGATGAAGGTGGCTTTGTATGGCAAGCCAAGTGTCTCATTAATAGCCACTTTTCCCTATTAATGAGACACTTGGCTTGCCATATCGCTCGAGCGCCCTCTAGCAGCTGAAAATGTTAGTGTTCAATATTTTCCATATCAGAATGAATGAAATCGTCAAATCTCAGCAAAAAATTGGGTTATAAAGATGGAAAAAACGTATAGTAGTCGCTTCGGTGTTTAAGTTGCAGACCTTGTAAATTTATGCAAAAAGTTGCAATTTATATGGTAAAAAATACAGTACTATATATAACTATGCCAGTAATTATTAAATGTTAAGGTCTTGTGATGCGTCATATGAGAGAAAAATAAGTTTGCTGTAAATCTGATCATTTAAATGGTCAATTTATGTATTTATACAATTAATTTTAAATAATTTGGTCTCAACCATACCAGTAGAGCTTGTAAAAAAACAATAATCAGTCATTGGTTTCAAAGTTTTTCATTATTTGTCTTGTGATCTACTCTCGACTGTCAAAAACCCACATCTAATGAGTCCCATCTGATTCTGATACATGCCCTGAAAACAACGTCATAAAGCGTTGGGCCTTCGGAAAAATGAAACGAGCATAGAAACACAAATAATTTACTTTCCAGAAACTTAACTTTTCCTCTCTTGATTTGTTTTTAATAGGAAGAAGCTGTGAGCTATTACACCAAGCTGGAGGCCCAATTAAAAGATGAATACAGGAAGGAGAGAGAGAAGGTTAACAAGAAACCTTTAGGAATGGCCTTCATCACCTTTCAGAATGAGTCCATAACTGCCATGTAAGTTAACTTTCTCGCAGTAAGTGAACGTGATTGTGATGCTGTCCCTGAACTAACAGTGTTGCTCGGTGCCGAATGTAATCTGTTCTTTGTTTGGGTGGATGCCTCTTCTCAGAATCTTAAAGGACTTTAATGCGTGCAAGTGTCAGGGCTGTAAGTGCCGTCGCGAGCCCAAAGTGTCTCAGTTCAGCTCCAGGCTGAACGTACGCAACTGGACCGTCAGCTACGCTCCTGATCCACAAAATGTCTACTGGTAAGAACACTAGCCACAGACTGGAAACAATGGGAACATTTTTTGAGGCAGAATGAGATTAGTGCAGGCACAGAATGAGATGGAATAGACTTCCGCCCATTTTTAGAAAGACTATAACCCCAAATGATGATGAGTTAGTTGTTTAGCTGCAGTGTCAGTTTACTGACCAGCTGTTTCCATAGCTGCAGGTCATCTGTTAGTCTGACTGCAGTGTAACCTCTTTTCCCAACAGGGAGCATCTGTCGGTGGGAGGAGCCTCCTGGTGGCTCCGCTTTTTCATAATCAACTGTGTCCTGTTCCTTCTCCTCTTCTTCCTCACCACCCCTGCCATCATCATCACCACCATGGACAAGTTCAATGTTACCAAACCAGTGGAGTACCTAAATGTTAGTGCTAACAGTTACATATATAGTCTGTCGTCTTTGTTATATTAAGTAATTTGCTTTGACAGCATTTAAGTCCAGTTCATTAATATTCACATTTTTAACACAAATATCTTGTTTTTTCTTATCTGTCCTCCAGAATCCAATCATCACCCAGTTCTTCCCCACCCTTCTTTTATGGTCTTTCTCTGCTTTGCTTCCTACCATTGTCTACTACTCTGCCTTCTTCGAAGCCCATTGGACTCGGTATGATTACCTTTTATTTCAATTTTTTAATTTTTTTTATTTACCCTTTATTTATACAGGTAGTCTCATTGAGCCACGAGAACTCATTTTCAAGAGAGACCTGTTTAGAGAGCAGATTGGGGGTTAAGGGCCTTGCTCATGGGCCCAGAGTGGGGCAAATGAGCCGAAAATTTAAGAGCTTGCTTTGCCTAGCATTATTTATCTTTTAATAATTGTGTTATTGGTTTGTCTGTTTGTACAGGTCAGGAGAAAACAGGACCACGATGCACAAGTGCTACACCTTCCTAATCTTTATGGTCCTGTTGCTGCCCTCTCTAGGACTCAGCAGGTCTGCGTGCCTTTTCATCAAGCCCATCAATACGATGAATTTAGTTGTTGCTCTAAACGTGTTTTGGCTAATGCATTTCTTTAATTGTATTTTTGCAGTTTGGATGTTTTCTTCCGATGGCTTTTTGACAAAAAGTTTTTGTCAGATGCTAAAGTGCGATTTGAGTAAGTAACACGGTTTTATGGATCTTTAATGTGAATTTGTTGCTCACAAGTAAAAAAAAAAATCAAAGATTTAGGCTCAAAAAAGGTGACCATATCCTTGCTAAGTACTCGTGAGGCAATAAGATTGATTATTGTGGCACATTTCAATAGTCTAAGAGGTATATCTATTGTCTGAATTTCATAAACACACTTTTAATTCACCATAAACAAGATAGATTAGGTTTTTACCTTTTGCATATGCAGTAGTCCCTCTATACTTAGCAGTTTGACTTTTGCGGACTCACTCTTTCTCCGGTTTTCAACGTAAGATTGTACACGACACACGATTGGCTGATTGATGGAGGGCGACCATCACTCTGGTATTCGCCTCTCTGAAGCTCCCACAGCAGCGATGGGGAAAGACGGACCCCACCCCCGCTCCCTCCTTTCTCTTTCTGAGGCTGTCTGTCCCCTCGGGATGCTTCTCCCATTTCGCGTCCGGACCAAGACCCGGTGAGTGGTTCCGTGCGGCCGAGGGAAAAGTCAAAGTCCCTCCCCGGTTCGCTGGAGGGAGGAAGGCTGAGTAGAGGCCGTGCGGGGTGGCCGAGCTCCTTCCTGGAGGTGAGGGAGCTCCAAGAGGGAGGGGGGCAGAGAGCAGAGAGAGCTGGCCGAGCCTCAGAAAGAGAAAGGAGGGGGGCGGGGTCTGTCTTTCCCCATCACTGCTGTGGGAGCTTCACTGAGGCAGATACCAGAGTGAGCGACATGGATTGTTTATTTAAAATAATCTAGCACGACCGGAACCGAGCCTTTAATCCCTCTCGACGATCACTGAGCGGACCAGGCTACCGGGAAATGTCCCGGTGCTCCCGATGTCCAGTCCGCCCCCGGGCGCTGATTGGCTCAGTAACCGTAGCATCAGTCTGTCTGCTCACTTTTGTTGTTCTCTTTTAGAGCGTTTAGAGAGTTTAGAACATTGTTAAGAACATTTAGAGAGTGTAGGAAGGGTTTATAAAGTCTTAAAATATGTATAAATACTAAATTAAATATAGCATCTCTACTTTGCGGACTTTCACCTATTGCGGGGGTGTCTGTAATGTAACCTTCATGATAAGTGAGGGTCTGCTGTACATTTTTTTTTGCCTTGAATGTTTCCAACTTTTCCAAGAATAATGAGATGGAGATTATGTATAGCTTGGTTTTAATCCAAATTTCAAGTCGTTTTTTTGAGTAATTGTTCTTACAGATGGTCTGAAACGCTCGTCTCGTCAGTACAGTGTGCTAATGCTGGTAATTTCAACCTCTGATAGTTTTCAGTTTCCTCAGGAATGCTTTGGTTTTAGCTGTATTTCCTGTATTTCCTCTTGTTGTTTTTCAAATAATTTCCATGAGATTCAGCTGAAATCTACACGGCTGAAGTGCTTTTTCTGTTTTGTTTGTGGTTTCTCCATATATTTTCCGTAGGGTGCAGCTACACAACAAAGATGATTAATAAAACTTCTTTTAATCAGATTGATGTTTAATACAACAAATCCTAGAAAAGCATGTGGCAGTGTTGCCCTGTGCAAAATGGAGCCAGTTCAGAGCATGAGGCATCTGTTCCTCACTGTCTTTTGTTTGTTTGTTTGTTTTTGTCCGCAGGTGTGTCTTCCTTCCTGACAATGGCGCCTTCTTTGTGAACTATGTGATTGCGTCTGCGTTCATCGGTAACGCCAATGACCTTCTGAGGATCCCTGGTTTGCTCATGTACATGATCCGCCTGTGCTTGGCTCGCTCTGCGGCTGAACGGAGGAATGTTAAAAAGGTTTGTTCTGATCTCACTCATAATTCATCTTCACTTCTCTGTTGTGACCACTGATGCTTTCATGCTTTAAATCCTACTTGTTACAAACCTCTGGTCTCTGAAGACCTAGATCTCTTTGACTGAATGCCTCTCACCCACCATCATTCGTGCCACAGTTTTAAGTAAATGTCATTCTTTGCTAGAACATGGCCGTTTGGTCAAACTTTGTAAATGACAGTTTGCTTGATCTTGTGATACTGTGAGATGTGCTGGCGCTCAGAATATGTGTTGTGAATGACTCTCAGCTACAACACCAACAAGTTTAGGATTAATATTTGAAAGAAGGAAAAAAAAAAGACTGAATTAAATCCATGTCTGTGTTGGCTGATGCCCATTAGCTGTGGTGACCATCTTAAATTGGGTTGTGTAGACAAACATTCAATGATTACTTGAAGCATATCAAAGTTCATGCTCAATAATCCAGGTAGAAAAATCCAGCAAAGTTAAGTCAGGTCCTCTGGACAGTTTCTTTTTGTTGAAACATTTCGTCTTTCATCCAAAAGATTTCATCAGTCCGAGGAGCAACAACAAACTCAGTCTTATAAATAGCATCTTCACAGAGTGGGTCAACCAGAAGGACAAACACAAAGAAACCGTCATGACTGTCTCAAATGAGTCGGTGGGGGAGAGGGCGGACACCAGAAACGATCTGAGCACCATCAAACTGGTTGACCCATTATGTGAAGGTGCTATTTATAAGACTGAGTTTGTTGTGGCTCCTCAGACTGATGAAGTCTTTTGGATGGAAGACAAAATGTTTCAACACAAAGAAACCGTCCAGAGAACCTAACTTAACGTTACTTTAAGCATTTCATCAAAATATGTTCAGCGGGTCATGATATATTTTACTAACAGAAAGATGAGTTGACACAAACAGTTGAGTAAAACTGTTATGCAAAGTAAGGCGCTTCAAGTTTGTGTTGTGAACAAAGCTCAGCCGCTACTGTAGTAATGTTTCAGACATTTGAACATTTTTTAAGGTCATTTGGATGTGGCAGCCATCTTGAATGTTGACATCAAAAGTTAAGGCGTACAACAGATGTTCGCGAGATCTTTTGCTAAAAGACACACCAACACAGACACGAGCAAAGGCAAATGATAATTAACCAATTACTGTACTTGTCGCCGTACATGTTGCACTGCCGTATAAGTCACACCAGTCCAAATATGTCTAATAAAGTGGGAGAAAAAAAGCCACTTTGCCGTATAAGTCGCATCTATTATGCATCACTGCCGACAACCCAGAAATATGGGCCGGTGTTGTGCCAAAAATCGATTGTTTGCCAAATGGCGGCCGCAGGAGCGTGCACGGGAGGATTTTAACTAGAATTGAACAAGATTAACACTTAAAAACAATTATTTGTTTGATCGAAATTATAGCAAAGGTGGTGAAAGTGAAACGCCAGAGAAAACAGATGAGTTTTTAGCAGACATTTAAAAACAGGAAGTGAAGTGGCCTGCCTAATGTTGGGGGGCAGATTGTTCCAAAGTTTGGGGTCCATGACTGAAAAAGCCCGATCTCCTCTGGGCTTCAGTCTGGTTTTTGGAACAGCCAAAAGCAGCTGATTGCATGATCTCGGCGCCCGGGAAGGAACATAAGGTTCCAGGAGCTCAGAGAGATAAGAGGACGCAAGGCCATTTATGCACTTAAAGGTCAACAGGATAATTTTAAAATCAATTCTGGCACGTACAGGGAGCCAGTGAAGGGAGGACAAAACTGGTGTAATGTATTCAAACCTACAAGTTCCTGTTAAGAGGCAAGCTGCAGCATTCTGGACAAGCTGGAGATGCAAAACGGAGACCTGACTGACCCCAACACAGAGCACGTTGCAGTAGTCCAGTCAGGTAGCGATAAAGACATGGACTAGTTTTTCAAGGTCAGATCTGGACAACACTATAAAATGAATAATGAAATCAAAAATGCAAGTTTTCCCAGCAACATTTCAGGTGTGACATGAAGGATTTACATCTTTCTCCTGGCTTTTCTATGGATAACTTTATTTAAGTTGTCTAATCTTTTAACCGGCAGCTGATGATTTTAAAATCATTTATTTTCTACCTTAATTATCTGTTAAAAAAACATACTGTAAATCAGTAATATCTTTTGTGTGTCTCTTTAGCATCAAGCCTATGAGTTTCAGTTCGGAGCAGCTTATGGCTGGATGATGTGTGTCTTCACTGTGGTTATGACCTACAGCATTACTTGCCCGATCATCGTCCCGTTTGGTGAGTGCTGCTGTTTCACGCCGGATTACTCCTGTTTCAAATCGAGATAGTTTGCCGATAAAACAACCAGAGGACGGTCACGCTACATCCAGGAGTTCTGGTCTCTAGGCTTATCAACAAGACTTAACTGGATTAGTTCTGCTGATTTCCTTGTCTTGTATCTCTGTGCAGGGTTGATGTACATGCTACTCAAACACCTGGCGGACAGGTACAACATGTACTATGCCTACCTGCCGACCAAACTGGACAAGAAAATCCATTCTGGAGCCGTCAACCAAGTGGTGGCTGCACCAATTCTCTGCCTCTTTTGGCTTCTTTTCTTTTCCACTGTCCGTTCTGGTAAGAAAACAGCTCCATCTACTGGACAAATTGCTATATAACGACCAAATATTTATTTTTATTTTCCTCTTTGTTTTGAATATACAACCAAATGCGTACAATAAGTTGAGTTGTTTTCTTCACTCAGGGTTCTCCGCTGCAACATCCAAGTTTACCTTTGCGATTCTGATCATCACCATCATAATTTGCCTTTCTCATGTCTGCTTTGGACATTTTAAATATTTAAGTGCCCACAACTATAAGGTAATCTTCTTAATGCTGCCCACTATTGTTTAAGACCAAATATTTATATAGTGCTTGTTTTTATTGTGTTTTATAGCATTACTTTTATTTACTTTTCATTTTATATACGTTTTATGGCTGTTTATTGTTATTTGTACCTCGTCTGTGTTCTTCGTTTAAAACCGGTCTCTCTTGAAACCGAGTCCTCGTGACTCACTGAGACTAGTCTGTATAAATAAAGGTTGAACGAATATATATGGACACGTACGTTGTTTTTGTTTTCTGCATCAGATTGACCAGGAGGTGGATGGGATGGAGAACGGAAGATCGGTGCGACCCTCTTCTGCAACCAAGGTAACTGTAAATAAAAGTTAGTTTTATTTTAATTATTATGTATCTGAGTGTTAAATATTAGTCGGAGGCAGAATAAAGTACAGTAGTCGTCCCTCGTTTATCGCTGGGGATCTGTACCATGAAGCCCCGTGATAAGTGAAAAACAGTGAAGTAGGAATAGTAGTATAAGTAGTAGTTTTTATATATATATATATAGGTTGCAGAAGAGGGTCGCACCGATCTTCCGTTCTCCATC